AAAAACGTATTTTCAACTATCATCCATATCCTAAATCATATATGTTAACATGCATGCATTTCAAACGAAAGTCGTGATGTTATTTCTTTGTCACTTGTGTTGTTTCATTAGTGAATTAGTGTTAAATGTGATGATAATCACGAGGTGACTTCTCTGGCTTCACCGGCCGTTAATCTGTTAAACGAGTGTAACATCCCGCGCCTAAAATACATTAGCTTAGCAATCGTCATTCCAAAGTCGTGAGAGAGCTACAGGAGAAATTTGATCACGAAGAAAAGGATTGGATGATATGTAACCTTCGACATATTGAGAATTACAATCAATTTAATAAACCCAAAGTCATGTCAAGTTCAAATAGTATGTCGGATAATATTAACTCTAATAGTCAATATTAACAATAGAAAGAAGAAATTGAGAGGAAATCTCATATGGAGCGCTAGTAAAATATATTAGGTTGTCAAATATCTCCCTTCCGCCTTTTTGAATAAAGAGCAAAAAAGCGGAAGGGAGATATTTGATAACCTATTATAATGAATTGCCAAAGGATATTAAGATGACCAATGATGACGATAAATTTAGAAGAAAAATAAAGAAACATTATAAGGAAATTGAAGATTAAATAGATATTTTAATTATAATAAATATTATATTGTAGTATAAAGAAATAGACAAATGATATGTATATATAAAATAAGAAAATTGTTTCATAATCTCTCATACCAGATACCCCTGCCTGACTGAGATATGAAAATAATATATAAATATATAAAAAATAAAAAAATAAAACTAATAGTTTCAAAGCCTTCAGAATATTTTGGTATACCTTAGAAAACAATGGATGTATATATGTGTGTGTGTGTAGTATGTATTCATGTATGTGTTCCAATACAATTTTTCGTCAACGATTTCGAGTGCATGGATCATCATTTTGAATAAAAGACATTGATTTGCTGTTTAATGGGACAAAAAGTACAAAAAATAGAAATTCAGATTATGGGAGATCGAATCATCGGATTATTATAATTTGAAGTATTTTTCACTTGTATTGATGGAGTGAAAAATTGAATACATTTTTAGAAAAGCAGGTCCTGCGGTTTCAGACATGCACTAGAAAGCTCCAAAAACTGATATTTGGTTGTCAAGTAATCTTATAGGGAAATTATCAGATATCTTATAAAAATTTTAAAAATAAATAAAAATGGAGCAAATTGCTGCTCCAGTGTACAAAAAATGCAACAACGCACAAGCACAAAGCTGTTCGCTTCATACAGGGTTTTCAATAAAAAACATTTACCCAAAAATATTAGGTGTTATTTTCAGTACAAGTTTAAGAGTCAATAAGAAAGGGCATAAGAAAGTACCAGTTAAATTTAAAGCAAAATAAGTTATGTAAATCCAAATCATAAGTGAATAAATTAGTGAAACAAATAAGTCAACAAGAGTTTCATTATAAACCCAATTTTACATTTATGGGAAATGTTCCAAAAAACGTTATTTCCTTTTCTGTAAGTCTCGTACCAACAAGTATTACAATGTTTAGAATTCAATACCCTTCGTCGCCTAATTTATAACATTTATTTTATCTATAACATAGGAATTATGAAATTTACTACATTTATAATAATTTATTTAAAAATATTTCAAACAATTGTTATTAATCATTGATCAATTTTTATTGATTAGTAATTAGTTTCATTTATCAAATGCTTTAGGTCATGCACCACTTGCTATGCTTTTGTTGGCCTTAGAATTTAAATAGAATGCTATTCGTATTATAATAATAATAGTAATTTTCTACCCTTTTCAATAAAAAAATATTGGGTAAAAAAGTATAGAATATGATTCGTTGATGAAAATGCTGTGGGACTAAATTTAATGGACACCTGGATAAAATTTTCAAAAGATAGTATTAAATTCACTGGACCTGATAAAAAAAAAGTTATTTTGCATAGCATATCATGCCACCTGAACTAATATGAATCAAAACTTAATGCATTCAATTCAAAACACTTTGAGATTTAATCAATCCGCTTGGGGCCAACTTTTCCATGAATCCAAGTATGATGCATAAAATGATGAAAAATATCCCAAGCCATAACAACAAAAACTTGTGCAATACCCTTAGGATGCTATATCCTTTACTGTTTTGTTGTGTTTATTATAAACATATTACGGTATGCAAATTTTAATCGGATAAAAATTAATGACATGAACGCATCAATAATCGAGTATTATGCGATCTTACGTCAGATGCATATAAATTTTGCTTCATTCATCGATCGGCACACGTAGACAGTAAAGCAATATATTACAAGAAAAATAAATGACTAAGATTTACTTATTGTGCATATAGATGAAATAAAATAACCCATAAGCTCAGTTGCATAAGATGATTATTATGAAAATGTCGTACTTGAAATAATAATTATAACATAAAACTTTTGTTTGAATGAGCATATTCAAGGACATACAATTAAAAATAACACCTACATATATAAATAGCCATGGTCGTATTATCCCTTTATACTTGAAAATAAGACAAATTTATTTGAAATTAAAAATAGCCAATTATGACACTACTGTATAAAATGTATAAATTCAGCAAATCAAAAACACCTGGTTTCCGTTAAATTTGGAGAAGTATTTGTATAAACAAATGGAAAGCATAAAATAAATATGTAAGTATTAATTAATTAATATGTAAATATTAAAGACTATTAGATTGTCTTGATCAGTAGATACCACGAATTAATTATAAAAAATTATGTAATAGAATAGTTTTAAAACTGGATGATTTTTTAGTTACGTTGTATTGAATATATAGGTTTAATTTATTACGCATTCCCAAATCTACCTTTTAGGAATTATTTGAAAATTTCATAACTTCACTCTTACATTTGAATTTTAATATTCTTCTAAGTCAGATACATGAAAACTGCTATAAATGCATAGGAGTATTATTATTATGACAAACAAAATAAAAGCAAACAAAATAAAAGCAAACAAAACTAATAAAATAAATATTGAAAACTAATAAAGATTGAAAATGAAATATTAAAAACCTGAAGTTGCATTTGAAAAATAGTTTCATCAGTATAATTAATTCAAGGATATCCAAAGAAGATGATCGATCGTAAAAAAAATGATCATGAGCAATCGGTTATTAAAACTAGAAATAGGAACAGCGCAATTCTTTAACGACTAGGTCTATATATTTTATTACTTCCTGCTGTTGAATTGCATTCTAGAAAACTAATAATAATTGATAGTAAAATTGACACACTCTTGTTAACTCGTCTCGTTTTATGAGAATGATCATAATCGTGTGAACTCTAGCACTGGATCATGATCGTTATTATTTCATGCCCAAGCTTTTATTTATCTCCATAAATACTTATTGGAGCTTAATACGAAGGGTTATAAGAGTCTGCAGTGAATTAAATCTTAATTTTTTTATTGAAAGTAGTTGAGCTTTTTAATATAAAGTCTTTCGATTAAATCAGTTACGACCTATCATGCATCCTAAGAATATTTCAATTTTATTTTTAATTTTCAACTTTAAGGATCTCACGTGGATTATTGGTTACAGCTATAGGATTTCTTCACAATCAGAGACACCAGATTTGACACCTGCCTCGGGCAGTCAGGTTGTCAGGCTTTGTTGACATGGTTATCAATTGGCAATAAAGTGGGCAGTATAAAATTTTACAGTAAAACAAACTTCAAATTTGTATGAGAAAACCAACAAGAAAAACATACGTTATAAATATAAGATAAATGTCTACAATTCGGCTTGATAATTTCAAAAGTAAAGAAATAAACTTCATTTCTCAAGCTAGAAACAAATAACTAAAAAATACAAAACTTGCATGTAAGTGAAGAATTCGAACTAGTACAATTCTAGTAGGTGTATGTTAATTTTTAAACACGAAGACCTCACACATTCTGAGGTCACAAGATCTAATGATCTTCTGAAGCACCGCTGCAAAGACAATACAGAAAGCAGATGCTTTTATAAGAAGTTACACATGACAGGAGTCATGTACACGGAAACATCGGCCGAAAGGTTTAAGTCTAGACGGAAGAAGTGGCTGTTGAGAAAAATAGATTTTCAAGTATCTCTTCATCATTTTACATGGTTGTTTGACATTTACTCTTGTGGAAAAAGCATATGCTGTCGAGATATAAGTGCTAAGTAATACAGCAGTACTTTTATGGATAGATAATGACAAGTTTCAAAAGCTATTTTTAATGAAAGATTAATAATCATACTCATCAATATTAGGAATTATCCCTAAGCCGAGAAAAAACAAAAATAACTAATTATTTCCATCTCACGAGGTCCAAAATATTTATTCAACTCTATTTCACTTCGATTTATAATATATGTAAATTATATGCATACATACATAAATTATAAACTGTATCATAAATAATGAAAACATTAAAGAAATGATTTTAATTTCATTCACAAACTCTAAACTTTTGCTTCTTTTAGATTAATTCTTCTTCCACTTAACCACAATATGAGGTACTATACTTATTGCAATGTAATTACAAATTCAATATAATATATAATATTGAAATTGATGTAAAAATTTAATATACAATTAAGTTTTTATAATTTAGGAAATAATAATGCTGCATGAAAAAAATATTTAAATAAGAAACGTAAAAACTTTTCATCTCAATAGCTCATTATAGTGCTTTTAATATAAGTGTAAATTTTACGACAATTTTTATTACATTTAATAAAATTTACTAATTGAAAAGAGTACAATAAAATTCGTGTTGACATTTTTATTATTGCTGATGGTTTTATCTCCCTTTTATTACGTGATATTAGGAAGATTCTACTTATGCCATAAAATAAATATTATGATGTAGCAATTAAAATAAACCCATTCTAACGACATAGAAACCCAATTTTCATTTACTGAAGTTGAAAAGCTGTCAGCAGATTTAGATTAAAATTAAGGGATAATAAAAATTTGACTAACCTTTGGTGTCCACTGAGGTCTATGTAACTGGCTTTATAAAAACCTTGCAATTTATCGTTGAGTCTTCCATTAAATGGCATATACAGTCTATATTTTTTGCCTTCTACAGCTTTTTCGGGGGTTATAGAAAATCTGAAATGTATACCAATATAATATATAGTAAAATTTTCAATATCATCTAAGCCAGCATGTAAAAGTAATATTTTTTTTGTCAACATAAATTTGATTATCTAAAATTCCTAACTGCACTTAAAACAACAAATGCAAGATACAGAATTTCAAATATTTTCTCAAGTAATTAACATAGAAAATAAGTTTATTTTAATTTGCTTAGAATGAAAAGAAAAAGTGTGGTCATATTAGATATTAGAAATTTAAAAAATCATTCAAAAGTATGATAAGTTTGTCTTAAATTTCAATTTTACATTTTATTGAATAATGCAATTTAGCTGAATCCTTATTAAGTAGTGGAGAATTTTGGAGAGATTCCCAATTTCTATTAGCTCTTGAAATTTTATTACCAAGGAGTATACGTAAATTTGAATTTATTTTAGACACGCTTGAATTGCGAATGACGTGATTTGTTCAGCACTAAAATTGATATTAAAATAAATATCAACATTTACCTTGTTCTGGTTGCAAAGTCCGGCAAGTAATCATGTTTTTTAATATTGATACTTTGTTCCTGGGTATCACTAACATCGTGTAAAGTCATTTTCTCAGCCTGGATCAACATGTCACCACCAATATCTATGATAATTTCAGCATCATTCTCAAAGCATTCGAAGTCGATGTAAACTTCACCATACGTTTGGGAAGATGATATATTTGGAGATAAGAAAATCCTGAAAGTTATGCAGTAGTTAATAAAAAAACATGTTCTGGCTGTATGCTATATATTCAAAAAACATGAAAATTAATAATTTATCTAAAAATATCAGCACTTAAGAAGTTTTTGTTACTAATATTCTACTTTTCAATATGTTTTTAATTTATGGCAACACACAATTATTTTATTATAGACATCAACATCAAATGTTCATACAGGAATTATATATCATAAGCAAACATAAATTAACTCTATGAATCAGCAGTGCTAATACAATTTCAGAAGGAAATTTTCGAGTGACCTGTCTCAGTTTCAAAGTTTACACAACCAATCAACAGGATGTGAAAAAAACTAATCAATAATGTTTTGTCTACCAATTTCAAAACATATTTGCGTTTGCACTTGACGGCGCCTTTGAGGAAAGCAAACATAGCCCAAATCACAAACATGACAAAGTTATCTGACACTCGGTTATTATATCAGTTCCGAGTTAAAAATCAGAGAAAAAAATTATCACTTAATACATGAACTTCTTTCGGAACTAACACCTACAATAAATTATAATAAATATTTATTCAACTTAACAAAACGTTATACAAATGATTATTTTAGTAAATGCATGGCACATTTTATTCATTGTTTTGCAACACTTTACTTAATTTTACCTCATGGAATTTTTGTCCATTCTCAATATATTTGATAATGAATATTTAGTATTTATTTAGATATTTCATGTGGACATGAGATATTTAGCAACGATGGTGATGCCCTTATATAATACCTCTAAAATAAGTTCCAATACGAAAGTGACAATATTTTTTATATACATACAAAAATAAGAATAAATAAGAAGAATTCAAAATTTCTATAAACAAATAAGGAAAATTTTAACCCATTGGCTACGGCGGGGATTTCCGCAGGAGTGACATTCTATCTAAAGTTTAATTTTATAAAATTAATAGAAATGGCTAAGATTTCATTTTATTTTAGAATTCACCGGACTCAAATGTTTTAATGTAATATATACCTCATACTTCAGATATATATTATATTTGTACTAATTGTAATTCTTCTGGTTTATTTTTTGCATATTCTACAACGACTTTGAACAACACTATTAATATAATATTTCCATTCCAAGATTTTCATGAAGTGCACACAGAACTTAAAAGCAATTATTTTTCTATATCAAAATAAATATATGCAAATAAAATAGTGAATTTTAGTTAAATTTAGTAGTTTTGAACTTACTTGTATCTGCTAGGTCGATAAGGTTCCTTTTCTGTTCCTGTACCAGCATTGGGATCATGAACTGTTTTATCATCGTGGTACATCAATTCCTCCAAAGGACCATCAGATCCGAGTTTGGCTGCGTTTCTTTGATCGATGGGACATAGACTAGTGGCATTACCATAACCTAAAACAAATGAAGAATGATCACACTCACCATCAATAATAATAAATTAACAAATGTCTAACTTAAAATTCGTGCAGCTGAAATAACTGATCAATGTATAGAGAAATATAGCTAAAAGATATTGTTTGTGTGAAGAACCTGAACGGAACATGAGTGATTGTGATTTTATTGCAAACGCAGATATACTCCTCGACGGATCAGATCCACATTTGTTAGCAAGAGTGATTTGATAACACAAAATACCACAATTTTTTAATTTGAGTAGTTTGTCCACAAATTGCAATTTACAAATAAACATACTAGAATCATAAATTAAAATCAAATTTTGAAATCAATTTAAAGTAGAATTATATATAATATATATTTTTGCCCACTAAATATTTTAACCAGGCTCTGGAATTTATTGACTCGTTGTTAGGCATTTCACGTAATAAATTGAAATAGCTGTCAAATATCGTATAAACTTTGGATGAATTTGTTTTCTAGAAAAAATCTATAGCTATACGTGAAATATTGCAGTTAACTCATATGATATGTTATAACCATGATTTTTTTAATGAGTAGTAGGTCCTAAGAACAATATAACAAGTTAAAATTTATCTTTCACAATTTTCAGTAATTGGTTAATCAAAGAAAAAATATTTTATAAAAAAAATAAAAAATAATAGAGGATTCGCAGTGAAATTATAATTTATTAGATATTATATTTGTTAAGTGCAATATGTTCAATATCCTCAAATTCACTAAATCAACGATAAAATTGCAAGAATTGATTTTAAACCTTTAAATCTATCAGAAAAAATATGTGAAAATTTGTAAGACATAATTGGAGTACTCAATCGATTCTTAACATTCATGTCTAATCAGAAGCCTGTAAATAGTAGTGATTGTTTTTGATTTGTAGTATAAATTAGTTAAATGATTCCTGCTTAGTAAGGCATTTCGATCTTCGATCACATAAAGTTACATGTGCAAAAATAGAATTTATTTATAACAATATATACATACATAGTTTATATAAAAGTATTCTTACACATTGTGTATGTGTATTTAAATTTAAGAATAGAATTTTAGATTTCATACTATATGATTAGTGATGAATTTTTTTTTTAATTTTTTTAAAATATGGTCACTTACCAGGTGATAAGAACCAGGCTAATAGAAAAGCAGCTACCAAAGCTGCCATGGCTAGAGCAATTAGGAAATACGCTCGCCCCCGTGGTATGAGAAGGGTGTTTTCCACTATATGAAGGCTGCTGTATGACGTATTTATGTGGAGATCTTCCGTTCGAACGGAGTTCTCCTCCTAAAATTTAAAAATAATATTATGAACAACGATGCAGATAACAACATGATTAATATGAATATATGGTAAATAAATTAGTTTAATGTGCCTGAACAAGAATTACAAACACACACATGAGTAAAGTAGCATTAAGCTAACTCTCGTTAATTTTTTTCAAAAAGTATCTCTATAAAAAATTAATGACGTTAATATAATAGGGAAATATATTTTGACCTATTATTGTATATGGGAAAATGGCATATACCCATACATTCCAGTAGAGATTTATGTAACTACTCCTCTCTTTTAACTCAAGGTAGTTAATAGATGTTTCTTCGGACAAAGAAGATTTATGGAAAATCTTTTCGCGAAGAAAGATTTGTATATGAATACTAATACGAGACATAAATTCTATGGAATCCGTTGGAGTGTCTGTCTTTACAATCTCAAGTTTTATGCCATTCTGCTAAACGCACCATTTAGAAGTTAATCGGCATAAATAGCTTGGAGAGAAGAGCAGAATAGAATCTAGTTAAATAACTCAACTGACATTCAACTTAGAGCCTTAGGCCGTTAGATTTATCACGTATTACGTTAATCGCCTGTGACGATATATCCATCATGAATGTCCCTTTTATATATTTATGTCTCTTAGGACGCAGTAAATTATGTTCTCTTTATCGAACGTATAATAATATGAATAATTATAATTTTATCTTTGAGAGCAGCACATCGGAATAATTCTGCGAAAAACTTATGGCTGTCGAGGCTTCAATACCAAAATTATAGTGAAAAAACTAAATATGTTTGTGCTCATCTCAGCTTTTATAGAGTTATAAAAAAGTACAGTTTTTTTGTAAAATTGGTTAGAGTCAATTCACAAAAAATCGGCGAAAAATTTGGTTTTTTATTAGATCCATACTATTTTACAAAAAAATGTCAAATTATTACAAGAAGTATAATAAAATAATTTACAAACTGAATTATTTATAAAAAAAATAAAATTATTTAAAACTAAATGAACTAAAAAAATCAAAAAATTTGAAGTGTTTTGTAACTACATTTTAATTACAAACCTATTTTATAAACATATTTCAATTACAATACCGAAGGATTAAATGCCTAAATTTAAAACAATTTTTTTATCCCAAACATGAGATCTTGTCGTCATGTTCCTCGTGATCCGATGACCTAGTAAAATAGGATCTCGGTAGTAATAAAATCAAAAACATATATAATGTTAGCCATTCTAATTCCTAGAGTTTGTATACAAAGTATTATGGGACATGTGCCAATTACGAAAATAAACCAGTTAGCATATATTGGCAGTATAGGAAAACAATAATTTGCTCTATGAGTCATATAGGTGATAAAATACGGAAGATTCTATTACATTAGCTGTATCTATTTCGGAAATTGGCGATTAATCTATACAAAATAGACTTCAGATTAGATCCGGTGAATTAATTTATACACCTTAAAGTAATGTTCTAATTTCTTTGGATATTTAAGAATAATGAATAGGTAATTTCTTGGCACAGGATAGATGACACTTGCTAATGGCTATAAAATAGGGCTATTTGCGAAACCAATTTCGCTATTAGTCAGCTTAAGAATTTATTTCAAAACTGAAGCATTTAATTTAAAGAGAATGTAATATTACTATTAAATTAAGACTTTTATTTAATATATTTATAAAGATACAATTAGATTTCACAGAGCGATATAATTGTCTGAAAGAAAAGAGAAGTTTTTGCTCCTTTTGAATTTCGTTTTATTGAAAATCACAAAATATCTTTATATGGGCAATAAAGTAACTACGACTATTTAATTTTGATACATTTTATTAGATTTCAGTTTCTTACATTTTATATCAAAAATATCTGTACAAAATATAAGCATCATAATGCATTTATATCATTCAAGCAAATCTTGTTAACATTTAAAATTATGTAAGATCTTCTGCAATTAAATTGTGCATTTATACTAGCAATAATTATTGATATTGGATAACCCTAGGCGCCCGAATAAAACGTATATATTATAAATCGCTTTATAATTCAATAAATTACCTTTCTATTATTTTATTCCATAATTTTATATTATTAATTTATCCATTATATGAAAAGTTTTCTGGCATATTTACCATACAGTGATGTCATGAGCAAGCTATGTGAAATTATACTGTGACTTCAGAAAGTTACAGAAAATCTATTTGAACTGTGCGTAAATTTTTAAAGCAAATACGATTCCAACGACGTTTGACTGGAATTTTAATTTAAATCGGCAAATCAATTCTTAGAAATGGTTCTGGTAAAAATATTCAACTACTAGTCTTCGACATTTAAGCTAGGAAAATGTCAATATTCTGTAGTACTTCATGGAAAAGACAAATAAAAGACCTGGAAATGAAAGTCCATGATCAAGTGATTCCTAATGTAAGTTTAATTTTTCCTGGCATCAAACTTGTTCCATTATTCTGAATTCTTCAAATAGATATAGATCCAATGTACCAATTGTAAATATCCAACAAAATTTACGATCTCTACGTGATGTTTAGAGCTTTCTTTATATTCTTGATATGTATTATGTAATCAAATTGAAATTGAAATGAGTCATACGTGGTATGCTAACATACTTCACCACATTTGTAAAATATGGTGTGAAATATATAATAAATAGAGAAACAGAAATCATTATTTCATTTGCTTGATCGAAATGTACAATATTTATACAAGTCTAACATTTGTTACGCTGATAATATATAGCTCAAATGTAAAATCTAAGGTATACAAAACTTTATTCAGATTTATTATTATTTTAGATTTTGCATTTTTCATTCTGCTTAGATTCTGAAATTTTTTTTTTTCATTCTTAAAAATCATATGATTTTGCAATAATCAGAAGAATCCTGATTAAATTAGTTTAAATTAGATTGAAATGGTAGTGATCATTATCTTTCATTGTTTGCAATAAAAAAATAATAACTGAAGCAATTTTAAAATTAATCGCAATATGAAAAAAATAATATGTAGTATAAGCATGTGAATAAGTGAGCTCAGAAGGTTAAACAGCGTACTTTTTCCATTGTAGGAAAGGTACGAAGAATAAAGATTTTTTTAAAAATTAACAAGCACTCGTAATGACGTTGTTTGATAAATAATTTAAGAAAAAATATTAAATATTTTAAAACATTAAAAGAGTTTTTGCATATAAAATGAAAATAATGAAGAATTTAATTAATTTCTTTCATTATGGCGCCGAGTAGACCTCATTTCATTACGCGCGTTATGTAAATTTTTATGACTGAATTGTTTTATTACGTATGATAAACATTGTGAAGCCTTGAATACATTTGCCTTAATTGTAAGTAAAGTTCAGCGATTAAAAATATAAATACATAATAAATTTGTTCAATATAAAGGTTCCCAGAGTCATGTTTTATAGTAAATTTTGTGTTTAAAAGCGATGATTTATTTATATCAAAGATTCATTTCTTATGCATTTCATGCTTTAATAATTGAAAATTAAAGCATGAAATGCATAAGTAATAAAACCTGCAATCGAATGAATTTAATGCTTCAATTTAATCAAAACGTGTTTATTAAAATTTATTACATGTTTAGTAAGATTGGAAGACTATTATAGAAAAGACTCTTCTCAGCCAAATGTTTGTAGAATCTTGAATTAAATATAGTAAAAAGTGAAGAATATACTAGCAATAATAGAAGATTACAAAATGTAAGAAAATTTACAAAGAGTTAAGCAAAAATTCAAAGCATATTCGTGATAGTCTAGAAATTACATGACCCAGTGCATTAATTTGTCTAGCAAGTGAAATGCATAACAATAATTATCCAAGTATATGTACAAGACATATTTTGAATGGAGTCATTAATAAACATTGTAAAACAAAAACTTAATTCCTCATTCCTGACTTATATGTAAATGGGAAAACAACTGTATAAAACACAAAAACAACTGCAAATTCTACGTCACAAACTGTTCTACACATAAAATTTGTTATATTTAACATTGAACAGTTAGTCATATGCCACATAAATTAGTTCGAACCAGGAATCTGCAGTATAATTTTTGCCAGCAGGCGCCAACGTTATCGCAAATTTGAACCCATAAATCACTAGTATGTTTTGATCCATTCTATCACTGAACATCATTGATATTCAAATAAATTATTATTAACACTGAAAAAAGCATGTTAGATGTCATCAAGCAAATTGCCTAATAGCAAAATTGTTGCAGTTAAAGTTAATGATAATGAGTTTTGATAAGGATTGTTATTAAAAGTGCAACGGTACAAAAGTGCCGGCGGATTGACCTATTAACTCCGTAAACGGATTTTATTACTGTCTGCTGTTGATGTACAATATCTCATTAACGCGTAACCAACAGTTACATTGCGCCTTGAACAAAAGTGCGTGAGCTCAAGACCGAAGTTATATTGCAACCTACGTAACAGTTATATAATGAATAACATCAGAAGAATCGGAAAACTTCTATAAACTTCCTACTATTAGTTGTAGATAAAGCTAATATATCATAATTGTATTCGTAAACATAATTTATCCTAGACATCCCACGATCGAAAGGATTCGTGTCCATTTGGTTCCAACTTTCCAACAAAATTTGTTGCAATTGTATTTTCAACTAGTTCTGAGCTCGCTCGTAAGTAAGTGGCTAGAACGACTGGATCTGGATTAGGGGTCCCGGGTTCGATTCCCCTTCGAGGAGCCTGTTGTCAAGCAGTAGTGACAACGGTTTTCACTTGGAAATATAGATAGCAATATGTTTCCAAGTGAAAACAGCCCTGATACGGCATTGCTGCACCAATCAAACGTCATCACTATTACAATAATTGTAATAATAAAATTCATCAAATGGAGATGAGACAACTGTTTGGGTTGCCTCATAATAAAAAACAAACGTAGTTTGTAAGAAATTTATCACAGCTCATAGGACCCATAGGTTCTGATCGCTTTTCAAATAAATAAATAAAAAAA